CTGCTGAGCTACGGGGCTCCAGGTGCTCCCTTGGTCTCCAAAGCCAGCCAGCCCGAACTCCTGAAAGCTCCCTTCGACATGAGCATCTTCAACACTGACCTCCTGGGGACGCTGCCCCTCATCTCCAGCCTCAGCACCAACAAGTGGCTCATGCTGCAAATCAACCCCCTGAACCTGCTCAACGGTGACAGCAAGGACAGTCGTCTGTGAGCTACCCCCACGCTGGGCAGCGGGTGCCTGCCAGCCCCGCACGCCGACCCAGCTACCTCTTCTAGTCACTGCCCACAGGGAGCAGCTACTCCAATAAGCTACTACCGATCCCGGAATGTTAACGCGACCAAGCGGCGCCCCAGCGGAGCACTGCCCGAGGAGCAGCTGCTTCAGCCCTGGCAATGCTGCAACCGGCCCCCATCACCCCCTGCAACCCCTCCTCTAGAGTGTAAAGCTAACAAGTCAAGCTACACTGGAGGGACTCAGCCCTGCCTCCTCTGACCACTGGCCCCAGGCATACACACCGGGATGGTTTCGAAGGGCAATCCTGCCTCGCCTGCCCTCCCCAGCAGCCCTGTGCCCCGCACTTACCCCTCTCACAGCCACACTGCCAAAACCGTTCCAGCCTTTCACAACACTGACAGCAAAAGCCAAGAGCAGCCTGGCATCACTACTGGGAGCACAGTGCTCCCAGCCTGCTTGGCCTCACTTGGAGGGAGCAAGGGACCTTCCTGACCCCACAGAGACCCTTTGGCATTCAGCCCCTACTGCAGAGACCTGGGGCAACGGCTACCTCCGGCAGGGTGCAGTTTGGGCGCAGCAGCAAAAGCCAGGGCAGCCCTGCCCACACTATGGTCCATATTCTGCCACTACTGTATACAGACATTATTTATTCTATTTAATTTGTAAATACAGAAAGGATGTGGTGTTATTTATTTGGTCTACTCATCTGTACATGCTCTTCTAAGGTCAAGCCTCGCTTTCTGTTTTCAGATGCAAACTTCCACCGGCCGCAAAGGGCAACGTGCCTTTGCCTCACATAGGGAAGAGCACTTCCCCATCACAGCTAGAAACAAAAGGAGAACAAAGCCAGCCCACAGAAAGCTTGTACTCATCTGAAGACCACAACAGTTGTCCCAGCCAAGCGCTGTGTCCCAGGAGCACGCACCAGAGGAGCGGCAGGGAAAAGGACCTGGGCAGCTGGTGGCGATTTCACCAGGGTGCTCTGGGCACGCAGCCCATCCAGTGGGCAGCGGCTCGGGGGCCACACACCAGGCAAGGGTAGGAACACCCCCAGGGCATAGCAGGGCAGGTAGAAACTGCGGGGTAGGGGGATGTTTTCTGTCAGAAAGGAAACCAGTGTGAGACAGGAAGAACTTGCCGTGAGCTACATTTGACTACTGCTAGGTCAGTGGAGAGGTTTTTCCAGAAGTCACTTGGTTTCCAAGAACTTTCACAGTCAGATAGTCCCATTAAAGCTGATGATGGAAACCCAGCTCAGGGAGTATTGTTTTTCAGGTGAAAACATGAATCACCACAGTCAGGAGAAAGGTTGCTGATGCACTGCTACGCTTCTATCTGCTGTGCCTGGCGTCGCACTCCTGCCACCAAACACTCGTGGCACCACGCTGCCGGCCCGGCCACTGGCTGTGGTGGGTGCCTCACCCACATCCTTCTCCCCTTCCATGCAACCTTCTCCCCTTCCACTTCTGCTCTCTTCGGCCTCTGGGTATTTTGGAGGTTGGGACTTTTTGCTTTCTTGTTTTTTTCAGTTTCCTCTGAAAAGCGGTGTCATCAAAACTAGGCATGCTCTGTTTTGTTTTTCTTTTCGATGCTCTTGACGTCAAGCTCTGCAGCTGAATCCTGCGCAGTGCTGGGTGCTGCCGGTTCCTGCTTGCCACAAAAGGCTCCAAGTCGGCAGCTCCTGGGGCGAGACGAGGGGTTTCCCTCCCCCTCCATGAGCAGCCAGGGATCCTCTTTCAACGAAACCCAGATGAGTTTGCCAGAAAACCACAGACCACACACCGACTCCAATAGCCAAGAGCATGGTCTGTCCCTCTGACTCTGGAAATCCCAGATGTTCATATTTTCCTGAATTAAGCCACAGCCCGATGCACAGAGGACATCCTGCTCAGATAGCCCCTGC